TGGGGTTCCGGGGGCTGCAAGGAGGGGTACACTTTCACATGGCCACCCTGGCCCCAGGCTGAAACGTTTTGCTTAGGTATTTTGAAAAATATATATAAAATCCATTTTCTTTTTTTCTGTCCAACGTGACAGTTCACTGGGAAACTCGCTGCATTTTTTCAACAGGGAAAGACACGGAAAGTGAAACGTAATTCAGCTTGGGGTGTCTTTCCCCAGGCTCCGCAGATGGCACAGCAGTGCAGGTACCCACGCGTGGTGCCTGCCCCCACACCGTCCCCGGGGCCGTGACTAAGCACCGCAGGCACCGTGGACCTGCACAGCGCTATATATAGACCCTGCACGCAGCCCGGGCTGTGCTGCCTGTGTAATTATCTCCCCTCATGCCCTGCTGATTGCAGGCACTAACGAGCTCAGCTGCAGAAGCTGCTGCGGGAGCCTGGAGCTGAGTGGCGCGGGGCTGGCAGCTCAGCCCTTGGGAGAGGTGCTGCTGCCAGGTCCGCTCTGGGGCAGAAGCAGAGCTTGCTGTGCTTGGCTGGGGTGGCAGCATCCCTGTGGGCACTGCCTGCCCGAGGAGCCTTCACCCCCCCAGACAGTTCCTGCACTGGGTGCCCAGCCAGCTGGCGACTGCTGGGCCATCCCATACCCTTCCTTCCCTGGTAATTCCTGGAAAAATGGGGACTTTCCATCCCCATCCCTCCTCGCCCTCCAACATCCTCCTGCTGCACAGCCCAGCCTCAGGCATATACTGCTCCAAGTGCATGAGTTCAGACTTGAGCATCCCCTCTTGGTTCCCAGGTATCCCCTCCTGGATCCAGGTCGGACCTGAGCATCCCCTCCTGGTCCCCTGACAGTGGCCTGGGGCGATCGCAGCCAGCACTAGCGTCTGCTCGCACAAGTGTGGGAACATGTGCTCAGGAAGCATTAGGCAGCACCAGTTTGCCACTGGGCACCGTGGATTTGCTGTGGTGACCCTGTGGCAGCAGCTCTGGGGCTGACAGGCAGGTCCCCAGGGGCTGGTGACAGCACTAGTCCCCTGCCCAGCGGAGGGGATCTGGAGGCTCCAGAGCCTGGGTTTGGGTTGGTTGGAGCCCCTCTGGAGACGCAGCAGGCGAAAGGCAGCCCTGGGTGGGGACGCTGCTGTGACGCACAGTGATGGCGGGACAGCAGAGCATGGGCTGGCCGCAGGGGATGGGGCTGTGCCCCACGAGCCATGGGCATTGCACCCATGGGAGAGCTGCAGTGACCCTGGCCAGGGCCCATGAAAGGGGACAGGAGGTTTTACACTAAGGTTACTCAGCCCAGAGCTCCTCCATCACGCCTGGGAGTTCCTGCTCGCTGCCTTCTCACCTGCTTGCTCACGGCAAAGTGATGCTCCTGCCAAGAGCCCCATGGTTTTCCAGAATGGAGAAGGAGACAGGGGAGCAGAGGGGTCTCCTTGAACTGTTTGTAGATCAGGCTGTGGAAAGCAGCTCTGTAGCTTGAGCTTAAGAAGAAAGTTCCATTTCTTTTCCTGTATCTTTGAGCATTCATGAGCAATTGCACGTAAAGCAAACAGTACCCTGTTTTCGGGCCAGCTTTGCTTTCAGCCCCGCGCTTGAGCTGCATGGGATTTTTGCTCTCCACTCCTGCGTTTCGTAACACTGTCAGTGTTTATTCTCTTACTCACTTGTACTTCTTTCCCATTTGAAACGACCAATTGTTGGTATAAACTCACCTAGGGAGCAATTACTGTGAGCCTAACCCAAACAGGCGCTGGGGGTGCTCCATTAAGCAATATAACCACCTCCCCTCTCCGCTGCTCCCAGAGGATACAATATTTACTTCTCAGCTCTCTGCTATTCATACCCAGCGCGCTTCGGTCAGCGTGCCAAGAATAACACAAACCAGCACCGGGCTTCACCGCAAAGATGGAGTTCCTGACTTTGCACAAGAAAACACACACAAAAAAAAAAGGCAACCTATTATTTTGCCTTCACTAAGAAATTCCTGGCTGCAACAGAATGAGCCAGAACCGCCCCTCTGCCTTCAGCAGAGCCATGGGTAGCCAAAATCTGCCCCGTGGGGATGCTGAGAGAGGCAAAAAAGGAGCAGTAAGACACTGTGACTGCCAGTTTTTTCCTTTTAATGCAAATTTTTATTAGGTTGCTGCACTGTTTTGTGAGCTTTTCCTCAAGAGCGTGTCAGAGCCGTGGCGGGAAGCCTTCCCCAGCACCTCACTGCGAACGCTTCAGCCGGGCTGAAGTTGCTCTGTCTCTGGCCGTCATGAGCCTCTGTGGCTTTAATCACTAATTGCAAAGCGATTGCTGCCCAGTCCTGTTAGCCTTTTCAGTGCTGTCAGGGTTCAGTTTGTGCAGTTCTCCTCTGGAAATTATTTATTTGCTAACCGGCTGCTAATGGGGGGAGCGCTTGGAGCAAATTACCTTACTGAGATATTTCACGGGAATTAGCTATATTGTACCTAAAGTCTCAACGTTAATTTAGGCAATTTTCCTGTTGGAAGAAAAAGCTGAAACAAAGCAGAGGCTGGAGCTGGCAGACTCATCTGGGGGTTGGCCCTGGCAGGAGGCTTCATCATTGCCCACCCGGGCAAGGGGATGCTCAGCGGCTTGAAGGGC